TCTTCTTCTTCTTCTTCTTCTTCTTCTTCTTCTTCTTCTTCTTCTTCCTTTTGAGATAGGATTTCTTTGTGTAGTCCTGGCTGTCCTGGTATCCAGAAACTCACTCTATAGACCAGACTGGCCTCAAACTGGGAGATCTTTGGGAGATTTGCCTACCTCTGCCCCTGAGTGCTACAATTAAAGGCATGAGACACTACTGCCAGTTATACTTTTTGATGTGGGAAGTCCTTCTGTATATGTGTTGCTTTTATTGGTAAATGAAATAAATGAATAAAGCTATTTTGGCCAATGGCTTAGCAGAGTAAAACCAGGTGGGAAATTCGAACAGAGATATGTAGAGAGAGTAGGCGGAGTCAAAGAGATGTCATGTAACTATTAAAAGAGAAAGACACCCATCAAAAACTTGCCAGTAGGCCACAGTCTCATGATGATATGTAGATTAATAAAATTGATTAATTTAATATGTCAGAGTTAGTTAAAAATATACATGAGTCATTGGCCAAATGGTGTTGTAATTAATGTAGTTTTTGTATGATTATTTAGGTCTTGGCAGTCAGAAAACAAACAAGCAGTCTCAGCTTACATAATGGTGCCCAATGTGGGGCCAGCTACATCCACATAAAAGCAGAGAGAGTTTGAGAAGGGATTATAGCCAGGCAGCAGTGGCACACACCTTTAATCCCAGCACTGGGGGGAGGGGGTAGCAGAGGCAGGCCGGATATCTGTGAGTTCAAAACCAGCCTGGTCTACAAGAGCGAGTTCCAAGACAGGCTCCAAAGCTACAGAGAAACCCTGTCTCGAAAAACCAAAAAGGAGAGAGAGAGAAGGGATTCTAGACACACACACACACACACAAAAGACAGAGTTAAGCACAACTTCTTGGTAGTAGCATTTTCTCAGGTGGGCTCTGCTAGAGGCAAACAGGTATGATTCCTTTAAAAGACAGCTTCCTGACTCAGTTTTAGCAGCAAAAACTGCACAGCTCTTTTAAGAACTGGCTTGCTGGTTCGTGCATGCAGCACAAATGACTCTGACTTTTTTGGGAGCTCCCATTGTGGAACATTTAAATGGGGTTTGTGAGCAAAGTGGTACAAATTGCTTAATGGTGACATAGACCCTCTGTGTCCCTGGAACTGGGGCAACAAGCATGATTCACTGAGGTGATAATCATGCCTCTGCCATGCTGGACTGGGCAGAGCAAACAGGCAGGACCTCAGAGTTGATCCTAGCCATGCTTGCTTAGTATTTAAGAAAAAAAAAGTGTTCCTGGTCAGAAAATGATTACAGATAAACAATAAAGACAGATTCAGATAGCCAGGCAGTGGTGGTGCATGCCTTTAATCATAGCACTCGAGAAGCAGAGACAGGTGGATCTCTGTGAGTTTGAGGCCAGCCTGGTCTACAAAGTGAGTTCTAGGACAGTCTCCAAAGCTACAGAGAAACCCTGCCTCAAAAAACCAAAACAAACAAACAAAAGACAGATTCAGATTAAAAAACAAAAAGAAAGAAAAAAAGGCCTCTCAATGGGTCACAGTGTTGGATAAAAGTACATGCATAGACTTGGGAGAAAGAAAAAAGGAGTTCAGACGGTTATTTTAAAAAATAGGTTTAAAGAATAAAACAAAGTCTTTAAAGAGACAGTAAAAGTAATATAAAAAGTACAGTCATAGATTAAAGGAATAAAAAATAATAAGCCATGTAAAGATAGAATATATGCAGCAAGTCTGGAATATGTATATTATTGTGTTTTCTCCAATTTTTTTTGACTACAGAGAGACATTTGATTCTAGGGGCTGCCAAGCTAAACCAGCATATATATTTTAAAAGTATCTTGATTTTAAAACTTGAGTCTAAGGATATATTATTTTGAAAGAGAGGTTCTGCTTTTGTTTCCACAGAAGATGAGAAGCTTTGAATTCCTTCCAGGCTAATGTGATTTGATGGAACAGGATCCCCTGAAATGTCTCTATGAACCTTAAAATTACTGTGCCCAACAAATAGCAGGAAGCAGTTTGGAGGAAACTATGCCCAAATTCCCAAAAATGATTGTTTATAAATGTTTGTTTTCATTTACAGGGGGTTGATTATGTGATTAATGGTCACAAACAAAAAACAAAAAAAAAAAAACAAGTGGGCTGGGTGGTGGTGGCACACGTCTTTAATCCTAGCACTTGGGAGGCAGAGGGAGAGGAAGAGGGAGATGAATCCTTGTCAGTTCGAGGCCAAACTGGTCTACAAGAGTTAGTTCCAGGACAGGCTCCAAATTCTGTCTCAAAAAACCAAAAAAAAAAAAAGTAATTTATAACAAAAAATTATGGATTGATAATCGACTATAGTAATCAAACTGTAGTCATGTTAGTTAGGTTTTCTAGATATACAGAGATATATTTCATTTAGATATATATTCTTCAACAATTCAAAGACCTACTGAATATAGCTTTTAACAGATTTTAGGAACTTAGACTTTTCTCTACAGTGAGAATTGTCTGCTTCTGGCGTCACGAGTTACTTCAGAGAGGTTGGTTGATGGGCACTGAAGAAACTTGTTATGGACTTTGCCTTCAGTGTGACACAGCTAGACATTCGGGCAAAAAAACTGCTCTTGCTGGACTGCTTAATGGTATGCTTTATAAACTGGACACGCAGGACCCACAGAAAAATGACTGCTGAACTTGCCTAAAGAAGATAAGACAGTCCTTCAGGGTTCCTGTTTCATGACATTCTACAGGACACAGAAAAAAGTGACTGACAAACTTTGCCACTACACAGCATAACAGATCTTCCAATTTCCTGCTTCACTAAAAAGTCTGCCAGATATTATGGACCTGTAGGCTGAAGATGCATGCCCCACAACATTACAAAAAAACTTTGAGTGACTGTCCAGGATGAAAGACATCTATGTTATTTCTAGAACTTTGGAAATTGCTTACAATGCACTTCCTGTTTACTTAGGTAATATTATATCCTTCTGGGGTCTTTGAAGAGTTGAAGACAGATAATTATAATTTTCCTTAATTATGATAAAAGATAAATTAGATATAAAACTTTAGATTTACAAAGACAGGATAGATAATAGAGTATGTTCCTTAATTTGCCATACATAAATGGACTAAATACTGTAACTATAATTCTTGCTAGTTAACTGTTTGTTATATGTAATTTTGTAATGCTAAAGTTAAAACCTTCCTTTTTAATTAGACAGAAAAGGGGAGATGATGTGGGATGTCTTTCTGTATCTGTGTTGTTTCTATTTGTTAATAAATAAAGCTGTTTTGACCAATGGTTTAGTAGAGTAAAGCCAGACAGTAAATCTGAACAGATATATATATAGAAGTGGCCTTGTCAAAGAAGCTCCATGTAGCTGCCAAAAGAGAAAGATACCCACCAAAACCTTGCTGGTAGGCCACAGCCTTGTGGTGATACAAAGTTAAAATATGCCTGAGTTATTGGCCAAACATGTTGTGATTAATATAGTTTCTGTGTAATTATTTGTTTCTGGGCGGTCTGGAAACGAAAGAGCATGCTCTGCTTACAAACTTTTTTTTTTTTTTTTTGAGGCAGCGGCTCACTCTGTACTCAGGTTGGCATGAAATTTGCTATGTAGCCTTGAGCTGAAGCAATCCTTAGCCTTCTAACCTAGGAGTAAATGGCAGTCACCGGTAGATGGGGGAAGGAAAGTAGCTTCTCTTGGGCATAGGACACACAGTTATGAGGCAACCCATTCCTAATGAACTAGCAAACCCAAAGCCAGAGCCTGGTGGATGCTTATAATCCCAGCACTCGGGAGACAGAGGCTGGCAGATCTATGTGAGTTCGAGGCCAGCCTGGTCTATAAGAACTAGTTCTCCAAAGCTACAGAGAAACCCTGTCGCAAAAAATACAAAAAACAAAACAAAACAAAATAAAACCCAGAGCCACCTGGTCCAGGTGCTTCAAGTCAGCAGGGCTCCCTGGGGTGAGAATCACACTCAAAACCTACAGACAGCTCCAGTACCAATGCATGACCTGGGTGATTCATGATAGAATTGCAAATTGTAAAGCAACATGCCTCAGATGGCATGCAGAAATGGCT